AGTTTTACAAGATGAAAAGAGTTCTGTGGATAAGTGGTGGTTATGGGAACACAATAAGAATGTACTTAATACCACTGAATGATACACTTAAAAGTGGTTAAGATGGTAAATTTTAAGCTAGGTGTATTTTACCACAAGTTTTTAGTTGCATCTTAGAATGTTTAAGGGAGGACAAAAATTATGCTTCTAGAAATGTAGGGTACCCTAACAGACACTTTTATGCTTACTGGGAGCAATTGGAAAGGGGTGTTAATAGTTAAAAATAAAATGGAATATGCATTTCTAAAACTGTCACTTAAAACAGAGTCAGAAGGCTATTAAGGAAGTGGGGCCTATGCACATCTTGTGCCTCAGTTCTCAGAGCTGCTAATAAGTTGCTAACCTGTTGCTAACTCAGCTGGTTGAGTCATAAATGTCCAAGAAGAACTGCTGAGTGGACTTGACCTCCTCCTTGCAGTTTTAGTCCACCTAATTTGCATATTTGAACTAACCAATACATTATTCTAGCCAGCAATCCTTCATTTGTATTAAAGAATTACACTCTGTAATTTTTGCCTCTATAAACACTACCTCTCTGTTCTTTCCTGAGCAGAGCTGGCTACCTGAACATGCATATCCCAGACTGCAATAGTTTTGCTCAAATAAATGCCTTTTGCTCTTTATTACAGCCTGAACCTCTTCTTTGGTTAACAGGGGTTAGGCTGAAGGCCGAACCAATTAGCACCGAGAAGAGAGACAATAACCTTTAGTTTCTTAGACACCATAGGTCCCCTAATGCAACCTAAGACTGACTGAGATTTGTGGGAAACTCCATCTGACTGTTGTTTCATGCTAAGGTTAGTATATGTCAAAAAACACACACAAAAACCTGAGATTTTTTCACATGAACTGCTACCCAGTCTGTACTCCTATACTTGTTATTGATTTTAAGATTAATTTACAATAAATTCTGTTTCAGCTTTGATGTTGTAGCTTGTCAAGACAGTTATGAATCTCAAGTGAGCACCTCTGGTATTTGTTATCTCTGACAGCTAGATGACACCTGCAAATCTGACAAGCATACTTCTAATTCCTCCACCACAGGAATTCATTGGCTATGCTATGCTCTAGTTCAGATAAAATACTTGTAGGCATTAATAAGTCACCAATATATTCTCCTTACTCTAAAAGCTGTCTGGAATATACCACAGGATGGTTAAAAAACAAAAAACAAACCAAAAACCTTTCCTGATATGTAGAAGGATAGGAAATGAAGCATAAAAATGCTATCTTATTCTTCGTATGGGCTTTAACGTAACTTATTTACAAAGACTTGAATTTAAGGGAATTAGCCCCTTGTCCTTAAGGCTAGAACTGCCCTTAAAATGAAAACATCAAGTGACTTGGTATCTTAATTAGCGACAAGAAGAGGCAAGCCCCTGTGAAACTCTAGGCATTACACATCTCTTGCCTTCTAGCACTCTTTCCATTCTCCTAGGAATCACAAAATTATTTTAAATTATTTAGAGACTGTCTGCAAGTCCCATTAGCTCACTGGATATGTCTTCTGAGTCTGGAACATGAATTAATGCAAAGCAGTTTACTCCTTTCTTACTATCTCATCAGGTTTGAGGGATATTTTTAGACTTACTGTTTTCCTGAAATTATCTTGTTCAAAAATGATTCTTCTTACTGAAGAATTTAGAAATAAAATAGGAATTTTTTTTTTTTTTTTTGGAACATCACGTCACGCTTCATCCCCCTAGCCTCTCTTTGCTCTTCTGACTGCTCTGGAAATATACGTTTCAAAAACTGACCTTAGTATTGTGGTAAATTTATGTACAAGATTTAACTTTCTGTTTGAAATATTACTCTGAGAGGCTTGTGGTACTCTTTTGCAGTCACCTTTACCTATGTGTGTACTACTCATAGCTTGTGCTCAGATCTTTTAAAAATCTAAGCTCCGGGGACAGCTCCTTTACTGGTGATGATGAAGGTTTCTTTAGATGCCTCCTGCTTTTCTTTAATGGGCAATTTTTAACCTTTCTGTGCTTCAAAAATCATCTCCACACATCTGCAGTGACCATCTGACTTTGAATTTCAGACTTGTACTACGCACAGCTTCATGAACAACAACGATGACCATCAATATATCAAAAAAAAGAACTGTCTTTCCCAACTTCACACTTGGCCCTCTTCCAGAATTCTCTGTTCATGGAACCTTCATCTTGAACTCCTCCTGAACTCCCTTCTCCCTCTTATCTAACTTGTCCAAGTCCTTCCAAGTAAGTTTCAAAAAGTCCTTAAATTCTGCTTCTTCTAGCCAACACTGTCAGTGCCTTAGTTCTGGCCCTTTTTATTGCTTGACTACATGCTTGCATGCCTTTACTTAAGCCCTACTAAGGACTGAGCAAAGGCCAAAAGATCAAAGGTGGGATCCAGGGAAGCTGATGGCCAAAAGCTAGTGAGAAAATGGGTTGGGACAGAGTTATATGACAGCTGTTGGCCAGAAGGAGTTAAACACAACTCCCAAGGGGAAAAGTGACAGCAAAGCCCAGTATAAATATACTAAGAAACATCACTCCAGCCACAAAAGGTAGTCTAGTAAATGAGCTGGGATTAAAAGGTGAGTGGGGGCAAGAGGAGTGCAGAGTTTGGGAGCAAATTCTAAAAACAAGAACATGCCAGTGTCTTTTTTCTGTCTCTCCCTCTCTTCCTCCTTCTTCTGCCCTTGCCATACCCAGCATCTTGCCAATGTCTGGGATTATCCATACTGCTGTGTGGGCTCTTCCATCTGGCTGGAATAACCTTGTCCTTAGCTCTGCCCTAGTTCCCCTAAGATTTAAGGCCATTTTGTCTCACTTACTTTTGGCTGTTTCTTGGGTGCTGAGTACCATGCCTGGTACATAATAAAAACTCAATAAATATTTTTTGACTTAAGGATCTATATATGTCCATACTGTTTCCTCAATAAATACTTTTTATGAGATGGATGAGGGCTGCTAAGAGCTAACTGGCAAACTGCCCCCTTTACGCATCTTTTCAAGACCTAGTTCCTCCAGCCCTTCCTATATGAAGCTGTTAGGGGCAGAGATGTTGACCATGCTCTGTTAACCATGATTATAAAAGGGGGGAGGGCACCTAGTAGGAAAAGGACCATAGTTGTTTAATGATTATTCACCTTACTAACTATAGGTATGAGGTTTTTCTTACAGACCCTGGAAAACTGGAGGATGTGCTGCAAAAGGAAAAACAGAGCTGAAAAAAGATGAGACACCTTGGGGCCTGGATGGGCCCATTTGCTCAGAAAAGAAAATGCATTTTGAGAACAGACAAAGGACAGGATGGGCTGTGCCTGCAGCCTGAACCCCCTCAGGGAGTTTACCTCAGGAATGCTAACCATTCACAGGTCCTAGGACCTGGGAACTGGGTTTTAACACCATTGAAACCTACCTACCTTGTTATCAGACTTCAAGATCCTGGAAGGAGACACAGGGACCACAGACCCTGCAGCCATCCTCCCACTCCCGCCCCCTTCTCCCTTGCATGCAGCCCTGTATAACCAGCCATGTAATAAGGAAAGGGCAGAGCAGATTTTATGTGGACAAATCCACTGCTCTCCCATTTGCTGGCAAAAATGGAGTAAATGCTCAAATGATTCAACATTGTCTCTGCTTAATTGGCTAAAGTAGCAACAGGCAGCCTGGACCCATTGTGTCCGGTTTCAAAGTCTCTTCCAATGTTCTCAGCTGAGCTCTCCTTTATGGTCCAACACACTGTGCATGTAGCTCTGCTTCAACATGCCTCTAGCTCTACTACCTTTGAGGATGGGCAGGGGAGCAGTTACAAAAGGAGTAATTTAATTAGGTCTTCCTAATCATTCCCAAATCCCAAAATGTGGAGCCATGGATGGATTATGCTATTATTTGATGGGTTATGTGCATCTGTGCTATTGGCTGAGTCTACATATTCCAGAGTAATTCTTTGCAGGTCAATAGACAGCTAATTAGACCACAAATATTTCAATTTTGTCATCCAATAACAAACAGATTATGATAAAGAGTAACTCAGATTAATTTTCTATAAACTCACCATTATTCTATAGTTGACAATAATGGTTAGATAAAAGCCAGTTGAAAAAAATAGTTGATTTGGGCCCTTCTCTTTCTAATTCCATTCATTTCTTCATTTAATTTCTTTTAGTGGTTTTTATGTACTAGGCATGATTCTAAATGCTAACGATTTCAAAGATGAATATAATTTTACACTTGAACTCAGTGAGGGGGAAATCACTAGCTAATATAGTATTTTATAATCAAAGTTCTGAGAGTAGGGAAAGAATATATTTTCCAAAGTATGTGTGGACAGTAAACTGTACAACGTTGATAGTTATACTTACAGCAAACTTACTGTAAGGTATTTCTCATTTTAATCCTACTTTACGGAATTTTAAAATATTTAAGATTACAGTGCAGTACTTAAATCTAAAACTAAACGAATTTGCAGACTTATCAGTATATAGACTAAACATACAGGGAAAATATGGCAGTATAGTTCCGTTTTATGAAACACCATACAAATTCAGATCAAGAGAACAAATATTCAAAAGCATGAAGGAAAGAAGAAAGAGAAAAGCTTTTTTTGAAGTGAGACAGGCTTGAAGGCCTCTTCTAATAAAGAGCTAGTTTCTATCTCTGGGAAACAGGAATAAAATGCTTTCCTCAGGAAATGGCCACCAGGACTAAATGGGATATTACCTGGCATATAACTAAGGGCAGCTATTTGTCAATACATTATATGCTATGACTTTGGTTCTGTAGGCTAGCCCCCTACTCCCACCCTCCCAAAAAGGAAAAGGGAATCAGAAAAACAATAACAACAACAATAAAACGGTAGAAGGATTCTGGAACTGAGAGAGGGTAACAGAATTCTGAAAAAGCATTGAGTTGAACATTATCCAGCAGGTCATAAATGCTGACAACCACAACTCAAAGGACTGTATTACAAATTAATTTCTCTACCTGTCCCGTTTGATAATGTCTGGCAAACTGGTTAACCACTCGATAGTCATTTGCAAAGTACTCCATCAGAATAGAAGGAACCTCAGCAAAATCAGTGGGGCATCTGGTCCCTAAAACAGGGGAAAAAAGTTGGCAAGAATCAAATCAACACATTTATCTTTCTTTTTATGTATTCTTTTAAAATTTTTATTTGTAAGTCTGATGAACTATGATAAGTTTTAATTCATTAAATCAATACTTTATTTCTATAAAATTATTGCACATATTTGCAGAAAAGCTTATTATAATCCTATATCTTTTCCTGTATATCAAAAGTAAAACAAAATATTTGCACAGCTGGATAAAACACCTTGTAAAGCAGTGACTCAAACCCTCTATAAACAAGCCTGTCTTCAGCTATGCTGGGCTATACATGAAAAGCAAATTAAAACATCGACATTTAATATAGCATTTGTCCACCACCAAATGCTTTTATCCTTCATTTTTTTAAAAAAGAACTTCATTTTATCCATTGCTTGCTTCTTGTAACAAAGTCAATCTTCAATGCAGAAAAGCAGTATTTTAAACTCAAAATTAGTTAAAGCAACAAATCGTTTAACAACTTTTTTTGGTGACATTTTATGATACTTTCTGGCCCATCTACAATCTTTTCAAATACAGTCAAACCTGGTTTCTTGAACAGAATGTCCCCCATCTTGAACATTTCAGTTCCTGAGCAAGTTGTTCACAGAAAAAATATCTTGGTTGTGCAACCAAACTTCCGTTTTCAACCTGACAACCCTTTCATGCAGATACCTCAGCAGGACAAAAAGCTTCTCTCAGGCAACAAACAGAGGAGAGAATGCTTTTGTTGCTGAAGAAATAGAGGATTAGCACAACTTTAATACATAAAGAGGCCATCAAAAGTGCAAATGTTGCTAAGAGTGTGAAAAAAATAATGATCACAGGCTAATGAAGAGAAAAACTGTTGTTGATTTGGATGAAGGAAAAACAGTTAGCCAGTGCATTTTGGAGGCAGTGACATATGAACAAGCAAAGATGCTGCATTTTTTGGGTAGTTTTAAATACTTTAATTTGTCTTAAAGGTCATTTAATTTTATTTACACAGAATTACATTTTTAATACTTATTTTGTAAATTCTCTAGAATAAAAATATTCCTATATTTATTATTCTGATTGATGCAGCATTCATTTATTCCTGTTAAGATGATGCATTTTGAACTCCTGAAAGACACCCCTGGAACGAGTGCTGAAAGTGATTCCTTTAAGGCTAGAAGGGGGTGGTTCTGTACTGTAGACAAGTACAGTATATAAGAAAGGTTAAAACAGGGAATCATTTGAAGGTCTGGAAATAATTAATTCAATTTATATTATTTCTAATGGGAAAAAATGATTTGGTTTTTGAACAAATCGCTTTTCAAACAGCCTTCCAGAACAAATTAAGTTTGAGAACCAAGGTTCCATGGTATCTTCTCCTCCCCCCAAATACTGTACGTATAAAGTTAGCTAATAAAAACTGAATATGAACAATTTACCAGGTGGTCTAGGCTGACCAGTCTAGGTTGACCATATATGATAGTGAGCATAAGAATTAGAGATGAGACAAGTGTTAGGATTGTAGGGCAATATAATTCTTAAAGGCCATTTGTAAGCTTCCCGCCACAAGAGAACAAAGACCAGGAAGACTTGATGGACACCAGGAATCGGACCATATAAGGAATTAAAACTGTCCTAAAACACCTGATCACACCTCCACATTCCATCCACCCACCAACCCAGCCCCAAGACCCATTGAGGACAAGAGCTTCCCACCAGTGATTGCATATACGGATGAGAACCCAGCTCCTAGGGACTGCCATCATCAACCCAATATCCCCTTGGCTCAGTGCTGTGCAGCCCTTCCCTTTGGATATCCCATCCCCCACCCCCTTTCCTTAAATAAACTCAGTTTTTCTTTATTCACCGCCTGAGATGGCTAGTTAACCTCCCTGCATACCATGATGTTAGCCTTTCAACAACTAAGAGGACAGTCTATAGTATCATCAAATATGGCCACAGACCAGCATGAAAAACTATAATTTTATGCAGGGGGAAAGTATAAGAAAAATAAACAGTTATTTATCATACTTGTTTTTACATGTTTTCTAACTAATTTTGGATAAAAAGAGGCAACATTCATTCACTTACCCTGTGCTAGGTTCTAAGAAGATATATATTTATTCACATGCACAAAGAGCCACAAACTCAAATTTCATAAAGAACAGTACAAAAAGTAAAATGGTACAAGCTCAAAAGACAGACAACTAAGATTAATTCCTGTGAGAAATGTTAGCAAGGAGGCAAAAAAAATGTAAGAGGATTGGGTTGCACAACAATTAAGAAGAAAAGATGAGGTAATATGTTGATAAATAACCGCGGGGCAATATTAAATGATCAGTTTTCCTAAATAAAAAACTTTTTTTCCTATTTATAATAAACTGTAAGTTTTTAAAGATTGTATTAAATAAAAGTCCCCTCTTCGTGGCTCACCAGTGACATGTTGGTAACGAGTACGTCCCAGCATAGAATGCATTGCATGTCCCATTTCATGGAAAAGATTTTCCATCATTCCAGGAGTTAATAAAGTTGGTAAATTTCTTGAGGAATGGGGAAGATTCAGCATAAGAACTACAACTGGGAGTTGATAGTTTCCATCTTCCTTTAATCTTCCTCCACGGATTGTAAAATGGCAATCCTTAAAGAATCAGAAAACACAATAGAAGAAAGTATTAGGTAGTCTAAGGAGTAAAATAATGAACTTAGACCAAAAATTATACCAAAATGTGTTCTGAGTTCAAATTTTAACTTAATTCTATTCTTATTCTATTTAGTTACAGACACAAAATTTTCTCAACTCTTTTTATTTTCTAAAATTTTTTTAAAACACCAATAATACAATGAGCTTATGTTAATTCAAAAATATGTACTGAGCTGATGCTGTACCATATGTTGGAAATACTATCATTACAGAGCTTAGATCCATGTGCTCGAGATGTTCACAAGCAAACAGATCCATGTGCTCGAGATGTTCACAAGCAAACAGGAAGTGACAGACATCTAGCTACTAAGGGAAGGTACACTAATATTTACTGAGCTCTTTCAATGAACTAGGAGACACTGTCCATACCAATTGCCTTTATCATGTGAAAGTGATAAGCTCTAAACCCACACAAAGTAAAGGATCTGAAGTAACGTTTCTGTAACAGGCTGAGATTCACTAACACTTTATCACTGTTCTTCACAATAACCCTATGAGGCAAGAATCTCATCTTTCAGATAAGAAAACTGAAATTGAGTCTTGGTAATGTTGTCATGTATCCAAGGACACTCAGCTAGGTTTGCTGCATCATAGATCTGAACCCAGGTGAATTAAGAGACAGAGTTCTTAATCACTAACCTAGACTCTCTACAAGGCATTCAAGCAGAGGAAGAACAAGGGAATCAGTGTCTGATGACCTAGAGTCTGGTCCCACCTTCCTCATCTACCAGCCAAATCATCTTGGAAATTGGTTTGCCTCTATGAGCTTCATCTCCACCCTGTCAAATCCCAGAGTAGTTGCCCAGATTTCATAAGCTCACATCTATTAAAATGCTCTGAAATTGTGAATCACTATTCAAATATAAGGTACCACTATTTCTGTTATAGTTTATAGCCTGAACTCTTAACATTTCTCATCAAATTGACTGAAACGGATGGAAATGATTTACCTACCAGTACACAGTTAAAGTAAAAGAATTAAACTCATGTATTTCATATAAGAAGTGAACTGGTGGTTGATAAGGTTTCCAAAAAAAGATATACCAGTTCCCTCTTACACTCGGTTTCACTTTCCATGATTTCAGTTAATTGGCTGACAACCATGGTCCAAATATATTAAGTGAAAGATTCCAGAAATAAAGCACTCATAAGTTTTAAATTGCATGCTGTTCTGAGTAACATGATGAATTGTTCACTGTCCTGCTCCATTCCTCCAAGAATGTGAGTCATCCCTTGTCTGGCATATCCATACTGTATACACTACCCACCCGTTAGTCACTTAGTAGCTATCTCAGTTATCAGATCAGTTATCAAATGAAAGAGACTACATTCACTTAAGTTTTATTACAGTATATTGTTATAATTGTTCTATGTTATTATTAGTTGTTAATCTCTTACAATGAATTAAACTTTATCATAGGTATGTATGTCCCGAACAAAACATAGTATATATAGGGTTCAGTACTATACTTGGTTCAGGCATCCACTGGGGTCTTAGAACATATCCCTCACAGATAAGGGGGGCCTACTGTATCTTCTGCAATTTTAAACGAGGTCCATTATCAAGTTTGGAAAGTGGTGAAGAGCTGGGGCTATAGTCAAATGTTTGATTCAAATCCTAGCACTTCCAGCCGTGTGGCTCAGGGCAACTGTTAACCTCTCTGGTCTCAGTTTCCTCATAATGTTAGTGTCTAGCTCAAAAGGTTGAGATGAACATTCAAAAACATGATGTGACACAGAAGGGTTCATAAAATATCAGCTATCGTTATTGATATAATTATTACTATGACCCAGATAAAAGTGACATATACAGATGTATGTAATGGTTTTCATGTTTATTTTTAAATTCAATGCTAATTTCAAATTTATATATTTAGTAACTATCATTAATGCCTTTTAAATATTAAGGAACTACAAAATAGATATAATGGTCACATTACTATAAATTAACTGCTGATCACTTTTAGGGAGACCATATTATAAATAAAGCATCACCTGATGTGGCTTGTCTGCTCGCTGAAAAAAATCACAGTAAATGTACCCCAACAATCCTTCAGATTCATGAACCACAGCCTAGAAAAAACAATTTAATTTAGTGGTGAATGAATCCATCAGAAACTTTACAAGTGGAAAAACACCCCCAACACAAGAATGTATACCGGATGTGGCAAAAGTAGGTTTACAGCTCTGAGTACACAAAACAGTTTATTCTTGTATTATTATTTATTAATTATTGTATTATTTTCCATATGAACAACTATAAACCTACTTTTGTGCCACCTTGTATATAAATCATGCACAGTGATAAATATTGACATTTTATTACTTTCTACATGCCATATTATCTCAAGATAGATTCCATTTTCTCTTCCTCTCTCAGATGATTTTGATTTGGTAATTCTGTCCAGAAGAGGAAACCCTCCTTGTTCGGGCCATTCATCCTGACTGCCAGTTCCCTATGACACCTCTACCAAACACAGCTCCTCAGACTGTTCACAAACCATCAAAAGGAGTTGGAAGTAAGTGCTGCCTTGACAATTTTAGCAGCAAAATTATTTCTCCTTCAAATTGTAGAATATAATGATATATGTTCATACAAATTATAACCCCTGGACACAGAAATAACAAAATGTAGCTTCTGGTTTCAGTTGGCAATCAGTAAAATCATTATTTATGCCCTTACCCAAAACTGAGCCTATAAAAGAGGCGCAGCTCCTAGGAGAGGGCTCAACCACTAGTCTCCATCTTGCCTTCTTTGTCTTTTCACAACTTGAGGATTCTGCCAAAGAGAACCTCAGTTTTATGCTTTAAAACTTCCTGCAAGCATATACGTATTAATTCAACAAACATTTATTAAGACCTACTAGGTGCTAAGTGCTAGAAACTGTTCATGGTATTTGGGATACAGCAGTGAACAAAGGACAAATAGTCCTGTCCAGATGGGACTCACATCCTGCAGTAGGGGAAACTTCTTGGCCCTTTGCACTCTGTCCTTTCACTCGTACATTATATACAAATAGAGAAATACTTAGGTAATTAAGTACAGTGATACAACATGCTCCCATTAATTCTAATCTTTCAATTCCACCACCACACTGACTCCATGTTCACAGAACATAGCCAACGGACAATGAGAAAGTTTCTTGAAATACACTGACAAGAGTAGTGTTGGTAGGCACATAAACAACACATAAAACACCAGAACAACACAAAGTCTTCAGATAAACACATAGGTCAATAAATCTCAAATTCTTATCCAGATAAAATAAAAATATTCACATCTCAAAGTGGGCCCTAATAGGAGACCAGTGGATTCTAGGCTTCAGGTTATTATCAAAGAAGTAAAATCAAAACACGGGACATAAATTAATATTTGATGCAAATTAAGCTCCTACAAAACGGGAAGGGGTTGTTGGAAGGAAAGGAAAGGTGACCAATGCAATGGATTCAGGAATTAACCAAAAGGGACACTTAGCACGGCAGGAATGTAAAAAAGTAATGACAGATTTTCCTTTAACTATAATTTGTCAACATATGAAGATTCAATCTCTCAGGAGATTCCCCCCCAATTTTTTTTTTTTTTTTCAAAGAACTAACTCTGCTGTTATATGCTTGCATTAATTTCTGGCATCAACTGATTTTAGAGAACAATGTTTCTTTCATACAGTGTCCTAAATCAAAAGTGGTCATTCAGGTTTTTCGTGAAACAGGAATAAAGTGAGACCTGCTCCATCAGGCAAAACTAACTTAAAGATGAAGGTGCTATTAACTCAATTATTAAACCCAAGAGATAAAGTAATAAACTTTACATGAACTGGGATGCTTACCAGTTTTCGAACATCTTCACACCACACCTCTCCTTTTGCAGGCTGCTCTGCATACAATGAAATCCCCAACAGTTTACTAAACAAAATATTAAGGCCTTCCATGCATGCTCCAAGGGAGAAAAACGGGCAATATAAACTGGGCTCAATATTATACCTAAGAGAAAAAGTTCAAAAGCATTTTAATTCAATTCTTAAGGTAAATTCAGAGAGCTTTTCATTTAAAGTTTAGAATCACACCAGCTATTTAAGAAGGATTAAAACATAAAGGTATGTTTCTATCTTTTGAGGGAATTTCAGACTCAGTTTACTTCAGAAGAAAATCAATCTAGTAATTATTAGTAGTAGGTAACACTAGTAATTAAGGTAGACATACCATTCCTTAATCATCATTCCTTTCAGGTTTAGTCTTTCACTGACTCAGTTAAGCAGTATGTCTATCTCAATTAACCACACCACACACAATTTTTATTTTATACATTACATATATACAAAATCTGACCAGTTCAAGCTATAACAGTAAACCTCACTTCATGAAATGTGTGATAGTCTAAAAAATTGTGACTTAAATCACATAATGATTAAGCAAATACAAATCCTGAGGCACATGAAGTGAACTTAAAGTTCACACCTGGTAAAATATTTGTTAATGGAAAAATCTCTGTAATATAAATAATTAATTCTTAATTTATCTGTTTTGTAGTTATATATCTTAAATAAATGACAGCATACTAGCAAGGCTAATTATTCTTCATCCAAAACCAACTTTTTTATGCACTATTCCAATATAAACCAAGGCATACCGAAAATGTGAGATGAATATTCAATTTAGAGTCATTAAGTCGGGCCAAACTTTACAACTGCAGCCAGAAAGAGTGGCTCTAGAATAATAGTAAGTACTTATTCTATTCCCACTTCCTGGGATTAACTAAATATATACCTACAACTAAAATATATATACTTATTACTAAATGGGTGATTGGATTTAGTGAGTGAGCATAAACTGCACCATAAATAAGATTCTGGCTAGAGAAATCCACAAATTTACCACTTAGTTTCTGGTCATTTTTTTAAAATAAAAATAGAATCTGTGTTGAAAGAGACACTAGTGGTCCAGTGTCCTTACTCACTGATTGATTCATTTACTCATGCAGGTTACTGACAAACCAGCTGGATGTTGGAGGTAAAGAATGGGAAGAGAGTCTGTCCCCAAAAACCTCACAGCGAAGGAAGCAGATAAGTGAACTGACCATACTATCTCCTGAGCCTAGAGCAGTGGCCAAAGAAGGTACTCAACAGACACTGTTTAAGGAATTAGTGAACAAGCACTGAACAGTGGGGCAGCAAACGAGAGCAAGATGTCTTTACCTGTGGAGTGGGGGTAGAAACAGTGAGGGGGTTACAGAAAGAAATTAAGAAGCAGGAGTTTTCAGGGTAGGGTGGGAATGAGGGATGAGAGAAGGGAGAAGTAAGAAGGAAATTCCACAGAGAAGCAACAATCTGACAACAATACGAAAGCATGAAATAGCCTGGTAACTTCTAATAACCAGGTGGTTAAATATGTGAGTTCATAATGCAGGGGACAAATAGGAAAAGAGAGGGAGAAGGGACTGGATGCAAGTGGTCAGGTCCAGACAACTGAGGACCTGGGACACCAACCTGAGGAATTGGTATTTTATATTGTAGGCACATGGTGTCTTAACTTTTTGATTATGTACCCCTATCAGTAAAATTTTTTGAGTATTCAAGAGTATTCAAACTAAATATAAATATATTTATAAATTACATGCATGTGCTATTGTTCTACTATATTTCAAAACAAAAGACAGATATTTTTATAAGATAAAGAAACATAAATCTAAAAATTCCCACATCCTTAATGAACTGCTTACAGATCAGGAGATATGAAAGACTGCTTCTGTAGGCAAAAGAGAACCAATCTGATGCTTTCTGGAATACTGAGGTTGACAGCAGTGTGCGCAATGCAGGAAGAGGCAGGGAAAGCAGACAATCGACTAACTAATAAGGTTCTGAATGAGAGCAATAGCGGTGGGGTCAAGGATAAGGAGGTAGAATTGAATGCTTTTCTTTTAGATGAAAAACTATCAGGACTGTGTGACTGGATTTTGAGGGTGAGAAAGAACAGTCTAGAAGCAGGTTTCTGGCTTGAGCAAATGGGTGGACAGAGTCGCAGAGTCATTTAATCTGAACAGTGAATACAAAAAAAGGGAAGGGAATATTGATGTCACACCTGAGGGAGAAGAAAGGAGGGTTTGCACAATTGTGAGAGAAGAATGGAGGGTTCACAAAAAATAAATTCGGTTTGGAGACACTGACTTTGAGGTGCCCATAGGATGTCAAACATTCAGGACACTAAGACTGAGGAGACTGCATTGTTCAGGTGTGAGTTAAAGCTGCAGAAGGAGATAGGGTCACCAGGGAAGAGTGATGTGGGTGAAATGAGGGTTAAGAGCAAATACACGAACTTTCAAAGGAAGGGTGGAAAGAGAATCAAAAGGAAGTTATATCATGGACATAGGGGAGAAAATACATTCTAAAAAAGGAAATAATTGAGGCCTCTGATTTCTGGTTTGGTATGTAGGGAGCCTGGAAGACATCACTCCATCCCAAGAAGTGAAAAGTAGAACCCACTGAAATCACTAACTCTTCATAGGTCTGGCAGAGAACTGAGGTCATAGAGAAAAATCACAGACCCCCAAACTGAAAAAACATGCAGGCAGATAGAATCAAATTTCACATGATTCTCCAGTGTGCACAAATCTGGCAGTTAAAAACTCCTGGGAGACCAGTTTAAGGAGGGATCCCCACACTTTTAGGAATTTTTGCTCAAGGAGCCCTACTTGGCTCTCAACAGTGAAGATCAAGAAAAATTCTCCCATATTTCTAGCCAGGAAGGAAAAAGTAGCCATTAGAAAATATACCAGAGCATTCTGTTATTCTTAATAAGGTCTGCCCTAAAAAGAAACTCTTTCCAGAGCCTAACCTACCTGGGGGTGGGGAGATGTCCAACTAGAGCCCCTTTTAGCCTTCCTGTATCATCAACACAGGGAAGGGGAACTGAAAAGTACTTGTTAAAAGTCACAGCCATGCCCGGCTAGCATGGCTCAGTGGTTGAGCATCGACCTATGAACCAGGAGGTCAGCATTCAATTCCCAGTCAGGGCACATGCCCAGGTTGTGGGCTGATCCCCAGTGGTGGGGGAGGGGTTGCAGGAGGCAGCCTATCAATGACTCTCTTTCATCATTGATGTTTCTAACTCTCCCTCTCCCTCCCTCTCTTTGAAATAAAAAACAACAACAACCTTATTTAAAAAAAAAGTCACAGCTAAAGGGGCACAGGCTCACTATCAGACTGAGACCTAATGATAGGATAGGACTAGAATGCATCTCCTCCTCTACAGGTCACTACATCAATAGGGCTTTTATAAAATAACAGGAAAATACAACTGAAAGAACTGCATGTCTCAGACCATATTTAAGTATAAGTCCCCAGAGAAACCCAAAGACAATAGAGGACACAAAAAAGGGAAAGTTTAATTTCCAAAACCACAGCTACTGCTAAAAGTAAACACAGCCTAACCCCTAGCCAGATAAACATAGAAACTCACACCACAGCCCTAATACATCATGTCCAACTTTCAACAAAGAAGTTTAAATCTTGCTAAAAGATTAAAACACAATTTAGAGACAGAAGAAGCAACAGAACAGATATATCAGAAATGTCACAATTATCAGATTTAGAATTTGAAACAACTATGATTAATATGCCAAGGAACTCAAAAAGGAACAAGTAGAAAATACACAAGAATACATGGGTAATGTAAGAAGAGAGATGGAAACTCTAAAAAAGAATAAAAAAGGAAATGCTAGAAATCAAAAACATTTTTACAGAAATGAAGGTCTTCGATGGGTTCATCAACAAACTGGATACAGCTGAGGAAACAATGAGTGAGCCTGAAGAATGCCAATAGAAACTTCCAAAAATGAAATGCAAAAAGAAAAAAAGAATAAAAAAGAATATGAGAACACCTGAAGAATTGCGGGACAACTGCAAAGGTGTAATGTACACATAAGGCAATACCAGAGAGAGAAGAGAGAGAGAAACAAACAAAATATTTCAAGTAATAATGGCTGAAAACTTTCCAAATTAAAGACAAACACCAAACCACAGATCCAGGAAGGTCAAAAAACATCAAGCAGGAAAACAAAAACAAAAAAAACACACTTAGGCTTGTATCATATTTAAGCTGCAGGAAATAAAATACAAAAACAAAAAAATCTTCAAAGCAGCCAGAAGGGAAACACCTCACCTATGGAGGAGCAAGGAGAGAGAATTACATCAGACTTCTCTTCAGAAACCATGCAAGCAAAAAGAGTGTGAAGTGAAGTAAAACAAACCTAGAATTCTATATCTACCAAAATTATCCTTCAAAAGTGGAGAAATAAAGACTTCTTTGGACAAACAAAAATTGAGGCAATTTTAAACTAGTAGATCCAACTTACAAGGAATGTCAAAAGAAGTCTTTCAGGAAGAAGTAAAATGACAAAAGTCAGAAACCTGAATCTACAGAAAGGAAAAAAGAGCATTGAAGAAGGAAGAAATGAAAGTATAAAAATAGTTTTTATTTCTTATTTTTAAATAATTGAACAGACAATAACAGCAACCATGTATTAAGTGATTATAAGTTATGAATAAGTGAAATGCATGACAGAAATGTTATGAGGGACTGAAAATAATAATTGGGTACTTGCACTAACCATGAAGTACAGTATTATATGTAAGTGGATTTAAGATTAATTGTAAATGTGTATTGTAAACTTTAGGGCAACTATTTTAAAAAGGTATCAAAAAGAGAGGAGAAAAACTGGAATCAAAATAATTAAAATCACACAAAGCAGAAAAAAGTGAAAGACAAAAGAAAAAACAACAAGAACAATGAATAGAAAAGGGTAACAAATATTACAGACATTAATCCAATTATATCATTAATCACTTTAAACATCAATGGTATAAATATAACAATTACAATACAGAGATTGGTTGGCGGGGCTCAGTTGGTTGAGTGTCATCCCATGCACCAAGAGGTCAACTGATGTTGATACATCAAAGTTTCTATCTGTCCCTCTCCATTCCTCT